AGCAGGAATCAGTCAACATCTTGTTTGTTCTCTCTTCTGTCTTTTCAGGTGCAAACCATGAATTACGTTGGACAGCTAGCAGGGCAGGTGTTTGTGACTGTGAAGGAGCTCTACAAGGGACTAAACCCAGCCACCCTCTCAGGATGCATCGATATCATCGTGGTGCGGCAGCCGGATGGGAACCTGCAGTGCTCCCCCTTCCACGTGCGCTTTGGGAAGATGGGGGTTCTGCGCTCCAGGGAGAAAGTGGTAGGGAACTGCCCCTCTGGGTGGGTTCTCTCTGGGGGTAGCTCTAGTGGCATGGCAGGTACTGACTGTTCTGTCATAGGCTAGTCAGGGTTTTCTTTAGAAACTCTTTATGAAAGTCCTCAGGCTGAGGCAAGGTTCAATTAAAATGATAGTTACTGATTCTTGCATTTCAAAGCATAATCTGTGAGACATAGAATATAAAAAAACCCAAAACAACCCGTAACATTGATAATGTTTATTTTCAATAAAGCAGAACGTGAAATGTGCTAATCTGGGCCTGTACTAGATTTCATTAGTGACTGTGTATTAAGACCCCTTTGCTTAACATGTTCGATGATAGTTATACAAAGGCAGGTAATAATGAAGTGGTATTTTCAGGTATCAAAAAGTTGAGGTTAATTGAAGTTAGAAAAAGCAGTGAGGACCTTGATATAAATATAAATGTAACCAGACCGAATGACCTGGAAATATGATAGCAGATGCACAGTGGCCAGGGAGTAATACATGACAGATTATTTCAGGAAATAATTTTAGGTCTAGTTTCTGATGTAGCTATAATTGTTCAGCAGAAAGATCCTGATGTCACTGTGGACACTGTTCAATACTTTGGTAAATGAGAAAGGAATTCTAATGTTTAGGCTGGGTAAAAATTGACAATGTTGTCCTTCCAATAGTATACTGTGTCCTGAAATATGTCATAAATGTAGACAGGAACTGTGTACTTAAAATAACTTTATTTTCATACAAGAATGTATTTCTTTTCTTCCAGGTTGACATAGAAATTAATGGAGAGGCTGTAGACTTGCACATGAAACTGGGAGACAATGGAGAGGCCTTTTTTGTGCAGGAGATGGATAACGATCAGGTAAGAGTCCAAACTCATTTTAATTTATTACAAATTCAGTGCCTTCAGAGTAATTTTTGAGTTTAGGAATTTTGTTAAAAAATATACCATCACCTATTTTATAGTTTTGAAAGTTTCTGGACAATTTTTCTGCTGTGAAAGTTCAGTGATTTCGTTTTCTCAGTTGCTGAGATTTGGAAAAAGTGAAGGAAGTGACCACAGAACCGAAAGATAAATCATAATTGAAGTGGGTGCCAATGTGTGAACAGAAATAACACAAAAATAAGAGTTCACATTCTCCAGAAGTGTGTTTTCTTTGAAGAAATGCACTCAGTAGACTGCCAGTAAGTGCATGTGTCCTGCAAGCATCTGTGCAGCCAGTAATTCTGGTACTCACCAAAGCTGTGATCTTGAACTGTTACTCATGTGAAATTATGTTTGAATGAGAATGCCTGCTCTTGAGCTGTGACACTAACTGCTAGGCTAGCTAAGTTATGGTCACACTGGTTTTGAATACTCTACACGTAGTGTAACATAAAAGCATTTTACAATCACTTCAGATTTCCCCAATAATTCTTTGCACTATCCAGAGCAGTCTTGAGTTTTCAGGTTCTTAAATCAAGTGTGGTAGGACTGGTGTCAGGTGAGAGCTGCATGTAGGTGCAGTATTCATCCCTGTAGATGTATGTTTAAATCTTCTGATCTCTCTATTTTCTGTGTGGTAAATGTTCCTTGGTGGCTGAAAATTGCTAGAAATCCTTCCATGCATGTCTAGAGATGTACATGTATGATTGAAGAAGAGGATGTCTGTGTGAGCCAGCTATAGGCTGCTGCCTGTCTGACTGCTGTCATCTGAGTTGCAAAGGAGAGCTGGACTTTACCGAGTGTTCAGGGTGTGAACCAGGATTTCTGCTTTGTCTTTAGGGTCATGTGGATAGAGACATAACCTGGCCTGTATGAGATGCTCAGAGGATCCTTTTTGTTAGGAGTGTTGCTCCTGGCTTGTCTCAGGAGATGCAGCTATGGCACGATATCCATATACTGCACACCCAGATATCTAATCTTTTTTACTTTTCTGAGGAAAAAACAGCTTAGATTTTTCCAATGGTGCATAGATTGTAGACCCAGGTGGATGACTGGTGGAGGAACTAATATGTTGCATGGTTTGGATTTTTTCTTTCTCAGGAGGTAATTCCATATCATCTTGCCACATCTCCCATTCGGTCTGAGGGAACGGCTTTGATGGAAGCTCAGCTGAAGAGGAACTCTATAGACAGGATAAGAAGTCTGGACACCAGTGCATCCTCACAACTGTCACCCCAAGGCCATGGATCCCAGCCTTCTGCTGAGACATCTGCAGCCTGTAGCTCTGTGAAAAAAAGGAGGAAGAAGAGGAGGAAGTCTACCCATAAAATAGACAGCTTAAAAAGAGAAGAGAATGGAGACACATCAGAAGATGAAGACATGTTTCCTATAGAGATAAGCTCAGATGAAGAAAAAGAACCATTGGACAGTTCCAGGTATCACAGTGGAATTGAGATATGTCATGGAAACCTCTTGCAGGGTTAATGTTCCATTCCATACCTCCTAACAGTAATTTCTCCAGAAGTTAGTACATATGGATGATGCACGTTTCTTTGAGTAAAAAATTCAGGCTAGAAAGCTATTGGGAATGTTAGGAAAAAGAATAATGGCAATTATATTGAAAACATAACAACAATCTTCCATCATGCTATGAACTGGGAGGTGTGCATCAGATAATTTATCTCTATCTCCTTTTAGTTCAGGTTATACTGAAGAAGGGATTTTTATTGTCTGAGGTGTGTGACAGTTCAGTGCCCAGGTATGGTTTTCAAATGTCCCATCTTTCCCTCTACCTAGGGTCCCTGTTCCAGATGTGCTCGTTGATGATGTATCTGACAGAAAGGCTCCAGCAGTTTCTACATTTTCTCAGTCTGCATCTTACCCTAATTCAGATGGAGAATGGTCACCTCTTCAAAGGTACATTTTCTGAGAGTACAGCTGTGAATAATCTTCCTCTCTTCCTCTTCCCGTTCATGTCTCATCTGCTCGTGCTCTATGAAGTCTTACTAAAAAATTTGGTTATCAAACATGGCCACTGTCAAATACTAGATGGATGCTCTCTAGATTTGAAACCAGATACAAAAACTTGATGGTTGCTTTGTCCTTGATTCAATAAATGGATGTGTACAAATTCAGGTCCACAAATTCTGAAGATTATTAGGGTAAGGTCCCAGTTTGCATGTCACTACTGTGGAGAGGATGAATGTTTTGTGAAATCTGAGTCTTTGCCTGCTGCACACATCTTATAAGCATTTCAGGGAATGCAGTTATATAAATCTCTAGTACTTTGGGTATAACCTTTATATGAACTTGGAAATTTGGAGTTGATGTATAAAAGTAAGATCTTCTTGCTTAGTAAGAAGATGAGCTTTTGTGTCCCCCTGAAAGCTAACCTAGTGAATTGCACAGTTCCAGCAACATGAAATATTCACTGGGTGAAAGGAACACACACAGGATTTACTTTACTCAAATACTGTGTGTATTTGTGTGTGTGGGTATACCTTTGGTGTCAAAACAGAGCAGTTTTGCCCTCCTTTCTTGTGTCTGTGGAACACTGTGAGAAAGGGAGGATGTGCAGTGCATTACAGTCCCAGATCAGTCTGTGTGTGTGCCCCTGTACGTGTGTGGCACATCCTCTGTGCAAATTGCTGGCCTGGAGCAACAGCCACAAGTCCTTATCCTGAGAAGCCTTCATCTCAATAGACTGCCTCTGTAGTTGGGGTACACAGGAAGGGAGAGCAAGGGGGTTATTTCAGAGCAAGAGCTTAATTTAAATGTTTTGAATTGTGTTCTGGAAGAAACTTGTGCATGGGTCAGAACCTGCCCCTTCCGAGGCTTCTGGAGCGGGGTGGGCTGTTGGTTTTGAGAGCTCTAGCTGTAAGTTCAGCATTTACGTAGCTCGTGCACAAAGAGCTTATGTTAATCAGCACTTGTGAATAATGACACCCTGTTTTTCTTTCTGCCAACACGCTGTGCTGTCCAGTAAGCCTATAGATTGCACAGGGCAATCCTCTCTTCTCACTGTTCCAGCAGATGGAGGCCTGTCTAATTCTTGTCCTCAACAGTCTTCTCACTTTTCTCCTACAGACAGGTAGAACACTTGTCCTCCCTCTTTTCTGGTCTGCTTTTTAATCCTTTCAACACACTAATGCACTTTTAACACATTAATAGTATGTGAATTTCATTGCACTTGTAGCTGCACGTATTGCTAACCCAGGCACTTTGACAGGTGACATTGAAAACCACTGCCTCTGCTTGCTTCTTTAAGGGCATTGACTTGTTGAACCATCCCTTGAATGAGGATGGTTAAAATACAGTCAAGCCAATAAAAACCTGGGTTAGAACTAAAGTTGATTAAGATGATAAAAAAAGGGAAGAATTTACCTAGTGAAAAGTTAGGTTCCTTTGAAGATTGACATTTCCATCTGGCTTTTTACAGTCAGTGTCTACTATAATGGCATTTTTATCCCATGGTTTTCCTGAGTTGTTTGCTTGTGCACAGGTTGCAAAAATAAAAGCAAAACGAAGGCCTCAGAGCCTAAGTGAGCAATAAGGACTTCAAAACTTGAAACTTGATAGAGAACTTCTCTTCCTCTGTTCCCTGCTTTGGAGGGGGGCAAGACTTTCAGTATGTTGGACTGCAGAGGTGGGCTATCATGTAGAGTGGCACAATAGGTAAGACATCTTACCTGAGGTTTAGGAGGCCCAGAGTTAAGCCTTTGCTGTAGTGTGGGATTCCTCTGACTGCAGAGTCTTTTCTGCAGAGCTAAAAGTGGATACAGACGATTTTTTGGACATTTTAAACTCAAGATGCCTCAAAATTGTGCAGCCAGGCCGTTTTATCTCCATTAAGTCAGTGTAGAGAAGTCACAGCAGTAAAAAATTTAAAGTAGGCATCTGAGTATCTCTACAGTTCTCCAGTAATAATAGAATCATAGAATCATAGGTGTTCGAAGGGACCTTGAAAGATCATCTAGTCCAACCCCCCTGCCAGAGCAGTAATGCTGGGGAAGCTTTGAATAATACATCATGCTAAATTGTTAATTGTTTCAACAAAGATGCTATGGTAGGTGGCCTAAAGGCTGTGTTAAAGCTGAGAATCTGGAGGTTTTCCCAGATTTGGAGGTCTGCTCCCTTTAACTGGACTGTGGTGCAGCACCAAGCCCCTGTCAGGCCCTGGGACACCCTTGGCTTTCTCCTCAGTGTTCCTCATGGGAGGGAAGGGCAGACCAGAGGCTGGGCTGGAGCAGTGATGTGCTCTGGGTGGCTCCACGAGCTTTGCTCTGTCCTGTGGTCTGCACGTGCAGCTGAAGGGCTGTAGGACCTGGCTGAGGAAGGCTCTCTCTGTGTCTGCTGCTGCTTTCCTTGTGTGAAGTAAGAAGCTGTTATGGCCACCTCAGAGGAGGTTCTTTGTATTTTGTTGTATAGAAAAGAAGTATTTATAGAATGAGAATGAAGCTGTTTCCATTGTGCTTGTGCTGAAAGTTGAGTAGATAGTATTTTGTTTACTTTGTTTTGGGGGAGTGGGTAATATTTTGAGGGCTAGTTGCTCACCCTGTTCCTAATTAACATGATTATACCCATAGCTACATCTACACTGCACCAATGGTCCCACAAACTGGTCAGTGGTAGACGTAGCAGTTGCAGAAAAAATCCACCAGGCATTTCTTGACTCCTTAGAGCTTGGAAATACTTTAAAAATGACATTGTATTGGTTTCTTCATCTGTCGAATGGTAGGTTACACCCTGAGGACTAGTAAAATTTGAAATTCTTGTGACCAAAAGAGATCTTCAACCATGGTATTGTTTATAAATGTTATAGTTTAGTTAGATAATGTAATGATCTGTAGCTAAAAAGTCATAGTGTTGAACACAAGGAATAATGTAAATAACTAGGTTTCTGTTTTTTGAGATGTGAAATTCCCAGATTTTTGAAAGCTGCCTTGCATTAGTGTGAAGTACTTACTTACCTGTGACCAGTGAATTCCCTAGCAGCTAGCTCTGCAGAACTACCCTACCTTGAAAGAGAAGAACTGGTTTGGATAGTCAGTTTATGCAGAAGAAGGTAAAGAATAAATTAAACATGAGGAATTTATTAGAAACATAGGAAAACAATTAAGAGTAAAGGTAACTTAGTTTGGACCTTTGATTTAGGAATGCTGTGGATTCTCTTCTTGCTTGTAGTTTTACTACCAGGATTGTACAAGTGAACCAAAGACATGCTATGGCTCAGACAGAAAACAAGGGGATTTGGAGAAATCCTGTGCCTTGTACTATGCAGAAAGGCAGAGTAGATAACTAGGATTTTTCCTTTTGTCCTTGAAATCAGTGAATCATTATTTATTAATGGCTGACTTGACATTACATTATTGACTTTGTCACATTACAAATATGCTACAAACTGGTAATTAATTATTAAATATTTTATATTGTGTAGTCAGCAAAACAGTTAAATACTTTTGAAGTGGAAAGGCTCGAGTTCTCAGCTTAGCTCTCCTGCTGCTTTCCCTGGGAACATGCATCTCAGGGTAGAACTGAGCCAGTTAGTAGGAGGTAATCAGCTGGATTCCTTAACTAGTTCATTACTTAGTCAAGATAAAGTGTCTTGTTGATGTGAGTGTGTAATTTCTGCACTTCATACCCATTGTAACAATACTAACATCTATTCATCCTGGTACCATCTCCGTTCTTTTTTCTACTTAGAAAACCAAAAATCCTTTTGAAATGTTCAGTCTCTGCTCTTGTTCCATCTCTTCCTGTTTCTCAAACCCTACTTCTGTGTCTGCACCTATTAAAAAGGTGTGAGACCTCTGAATGCCAGTCTAAGAGAATCCTGAGCTGTTTACACTGTTCCTCCATGCAGTCACACTTCCTCTTGGCTAAGGATTGTTTAGCTTTCCAGTGCTTTGTGTTGGTGGGTATCAGTTTGGAAGGTGCTTAGTGCATTGTGGTTGCTTTTGGTTTTGTAACATTTTTTGTTTGTTTTTCTTCAGCCTCTCAGGTTCCCGCCCTCCTACTCCTCAGAGTGACTCAGAATTAGTCAGTAAACCTGTGGACAGGAGTGGACTGAAGAATAATCCTCACATGCACTGGGCATGGGGAGAGCTACCCCAGGCTGCAAAGGTATCCAGCATACTTTGGTTATTTCCTGCTGGCATCTCCTGCGCTTTGATGGGGCACGTGTGCCTGTTCTGTTGCAGACTGCCAAAGAGGGCGTGGATCCCCTTTTTACATAAAAAAGGCAAAGTTTTGTGTAATAGTGTTGAAGGGCAGGTTGGATGGGGCTCTGAGCAAGCAGGTCTGGTGAGAGGTGTCCCTGCCCATGCAGAGGGGTTGGAACTATATTTAAGGTGCCTTCCAAATCAAACCATTCTGTGGTGCTATGATTCCTGCTCCTTGGGAGGTAAGCAAAGTACTTTGCAGTGAGCACACCATGCAGTGAGCACAGTGCAGGTCAGGCAGGTGCTGCCAGGCTCCTTATGATGGCTGTGGAGTCAGAGCGTTCACACAGCAAAGGAGAGACTCAGGGTTGACACCTTCTTCAGGGTATGAGAAGTAAAGATCAGGTTCCAGTGGCAGACTGCAGTGCTGGGGGCAAGGATGGGGACAGGTCCAGGCAGGAGTTTCACATTGGCTTTTGCAGTCTAGAGAATATCTTGAATTGTTCCTATGAACTGATTTAAAATCAAAGTCTGTGATATAGATAAATGACAGTGTCCCCAGGTCCTGGTCGTTGAGAACATTCTGAACGTGTAAGGACTCCAGTGTGTGTTCCCTTCCCCAGTTTGTCAGGGTTACCCTGTGAAGCAATGCTAGGATTTGTGCAGGAAGGGGGGAGGGCTGTGCTGTGCTCCCTGGCAGGTGAGTGGGGAATGAAGACTGGAGGAGCACATTGCAGAACAAATCTTTCCTGGCCCCAAGTACAGAGGAATTTTGCACAAGCAAAGGCTCAACAGAGAGGTCTCTTGTACACTGTAGTCTCCACCTCAGTTAGTGGTGGCTTTCTGCTGTAGGTGGTTACCTTGAGAATCTGATCTCACTGGAGTGAACAGAACAGGTTAAACTTTGGCTGTTGTTTTTAAAGAGCTTTTCTTTACAACAATGTCTGTTTGTTTTTCCTACCAGGCCACTTCTCTGCTCAAAGCAAAGGAACCCAGCCTGGTGGATGTAAATCCCTCTGAAAGCACTCACTTTCGGGTCATCCAGAGTTCTCCTAGTGAGGAGTTTAACACTGTGTCCCCTCTACCTGCCCTTGAACAAGCAGGTGCAACAACTGCTGAGGAAAGTGAACCCTCACCAGCTGAGACAAATAAGCCAGAGACTGAGTCTCCAGGAGCAGCTGTACCACCCTTGTCTGCCAATGAAGAACTAAAACAAGCTGCAGCTTGTTCAGCCCAACCAGCTGGCAAGACAGATTCCCCTTCCAGAAAGAAAGGTAAAGCTGTTGATTCTGCACTTTTATATGTATGATTTTGTCTTTAAAATCTCATGGTGATAAAGCACCTCATTGTCATAGAAATTAATCTGTGCCCTGGAGGCACTTTCAGATCTGGAAAGTAAGAAGCTTTGGAAAGAACCTTCAAAGGCTGAGCTGTGCAGCAGGCTATTCACAGAAGCTGTGTAGTAAGATGGAAGTTTCTCTTTGGTCTGGGATTTCTGGCAGCTCTGTGCATATGAACATGTCTGCAAAACTAGCTCCAAAGTCATCCAGATTTGACAGATTCATATATTTCACTTTTTGGTAGAAGCACAGGGTAGATCTGCTGATTCACCTGCTCTTGCTGCTTTCCGAGTTATTGCGTGTCACTGGTGATAGGGAACCTCTCTGCTCTGGTAGAAAGCTGTCCTGTGTCTTTTGCACAAACAACAGATTTGCCATAAAAAGGTAAATTTCAGTTCTGTGTGGTACATGTCCTGTCCTGAACTTGTGAAATATAAATCCATCTGCTTTTCTGCTTCTTACTTTCTGGGCTCTATATCAAGGGTATTTTATAACAAGTGTTACAGTCTTCACATGAAATGTATTTCCTTACAAATGTTACTTTTTAGAGCCCTGATTATTCTATAATTATGTGAGCACTATCCAAGCCTAGTTTGTGCAGCTGCTTTTCAGTCAGTGAGCACACATTTCTTAGCCACTCTCCCGTGCATTCCACTGTCTTTGAAGACAAAAATGACAGTGTTTTACTCTGCTTGCTATTCAGTCTTTTTTCAGATTGCTTTTCTGAGGTTTGATGTTGGAAAGTGGGCCAATGAGAAGTCTCAGGTTTTGGAAAGAATTCCCAGTTAAGATTGGCCTTACAGTGGTTACTTGTCTGATTGCACCAGCAACAACAGGACAGCAATGACTCTGTGACTTGTGAATGACCCAGGAGGGTCATCTTGTCCTCTCCATGGTGCCTGTACTGCAATATAGGCCTGTGCAGATACTCAGAAAGTCTTCCTCTTACTGTTTTCCCTAC